CTGGGAGAAGTGGGTGAGGAGCACGGGGGTGCTCTGGGAGGGGGGTGAGGGCTGAGTGCAGGAGGGGAAAATGCTTCCTCGCCCTTGAACAGCGGGGTGGGCTGGCTGCTGGGGAACCCCCGCTGGCTTTCAGGAGCCATCGTAGCCACAGGAAACTGAATTTCGGAGATCTCGCAGGGCTGCTGGTGTCCAGGCCCCTCAGCCGAGAGACTTGAAAGCCTGTAGGACTGCAGGGCAAGGATGGAACTCATTCAAGCGTGGCCTTAAACAAGACAGGGAGGTACGAAGTGTCAGGGGAGCAGGAAGAGGCGCATGAGTGCGCAAGTTAGAGGAGGCTTTTGGGATGAGGCAGGCCTGACCCGGGCTGTTGGCTTGCCCGGCGCATTCTGACCTGCCGCTGTGATGTGCTTCCCCAGATATCTACGTCTGCATGATCTCCTCTGCACACAACGTGGCAGCGCAGGGGAAGTACATCGCCATTGCCAGCACTACTGTGGAAACCGCGGACCCAGAGAAGGAAATCAAGCCGGCCTTGGACCTCTTGGAGCCCATTGAGCAGAAGTAAGCCCTCGACGAGCCCCCTCTCCCCCTTCCCACCTCGCTGCTCTCCGCTGCGAGCGCTCGGGCCTGAGGCGTGAAGGCAGAGGGGATCCGAAGGCCATTTGGCTGCACAGAGGTGTTGAAACTCTGAATTTCCTCTGCACCTTGACTGCTTCCGCGCTGGGCAGAGCAATGCCCTTCCATTCAGCCGTTCTTGCACCCATACTGGTGCTCAGCGATGCTTTTTAAAGCATTCCGAAGCTCTTTTTTTTTTTTTTCCTCCTTCCAGGTTCGTTAGCATCAGTGACCTGTTCGCGCCGACCGACTTGGGAACCGAAAGCCAGGTTAGTAAGCGCCGAGCTCGTGTTTGAGGGGGCGAGGAGAGAGGCTCGATGCTAAACTGCTGCTTCTCTTTCCAGATCTTCATTTCTCGCACCTATGACGCCACCACTCACTTTGAGACGACGTGCGATGACATCAAAGATATTTATAAGAGGATGATGGGATCAGAGTTTGACTTCGAAGAGATGAAACGCAAGAAAAATGATATCTATGGGGAGGAGGAGCAGCAGTAATGAGAATCTCTAATTAGGAGAAATTTAAATCGGCTAATATGAATATATAAGGAACTTAATGAACACTGTATGAAATTCAATATTGTAAGGCCTGCTTTTGTAATCCCATCTCTGAGAGATTGAAGAGTACTGCACTGGTAATGTTCCCCTTTTGGATATCATGTGTTAATTATTTCATTCTAGTAGGGCTGCTGTCCAGAATCTGGCAAATTACTGACTGATTTAATGACTAACCTCGTAAGCGAAAGGCAGACTGAACCTTTTTTTTTTTTTGCAGACGTAGACGTTGGTGCAGATTTGAAATAACTCATTGACAGCTGTGTCTTACCTTGTATTTTTAATCATTTGTAAACATCCTTCACAATTATGTGCTTCTGGTGAGCTAGTAGATGTGACGGTTGTCACTCAAACCTGATATCAAGGGAAATAGAAACTGAGCACTCCATTATTGTGGACAGCATCCCTAAAGTCTCTTCCCATCAATCTAACTCTGTGGCAAGTTGTATTATGGACAAAGCCCACATCTATTGTAGCAGCAAATGTTGGCTTAGTTCTGGGCACAGAACTTAACCTCCACTTAAGCTTCTAAAACTGTTTACATTGGTTGGGACACAGCTGTGCCTAAGGCTCCTTTGTGTTTTAATCTTAATAAAATTGAGAGAACAAATTACAGAGCAGGCAAGATGTGGAAGTATTTTCTGTACCCTGGTGGCTTCTCGGATGGACCAAACGGCACTGCGGTATCGATATGACAGAGCCTGTGCTTCTCGTGTCTCCTGAAGGCTCCAAATGATTTCTGTACTGCGAAGTAAAGCCAAATTCTGGAAACCAGTCCTGTGCTCTGGTCTGATTCACTTCAGTTGTACGAGCAGCATCTCCTTTCCGAGATCCCTTGGATCTCTGCCCGCCAGGGTTGACACGTGAGTGGTACAGAGCATTTCCTACTAGAAAATAGGCTCAGACTTCCTTGGTTTGGCTTCCCCAGCCCCTGCTGCTCCAGCTGCTCTCGGGGCTGCTTTTGGCAGGGGAGAAGATGCAGCAGCACAAGGCCTGTCACTCCGTCTAAAGCTGCGGGTAGGCGCAAGCCTGCTCGCTCCCTGCAGCCACCCCCTAGCGCCTACATCCAGAAATGGCACTTGCTTGAAGCAGCAGTAAATAATTCTTGCCCTTACGGCTCCTCTGCAGGGTGCTGATCTCTGAGTAAGAGAGGCTCCTCTTCGGAGTGAGCCTTACTGGTCCCCTGGCTCGGATCCTGCAGCCTGAAGCAATCCTGCTGTTGGGCGGCAGGTGGACGGCGAGGAGACAACGATGCCAAGCGCCAGGAAAAATGAGAAAATGCCTTGGGACGGCTTTCTCCTGCTCTCGGCTGCCGTGCTCGGCCAGGTAGGGTTGCTGCTAAAGGGTTCATCCTTCTCTTCAGCCGTAGCTGTGCCGCGCTCGTGCTGCTGATGAAGAGGAACTGGGTCTTTGACCACATCTCGTTCACGAAGCGGCGCTGCGCTAAACCTGGCTGCGGCTGCCCCTTTCCTTCCTCCCTCCCTGGGGTTTGGGGCTTTTGGCACTTCCTCTCCCCGGGCACTGGTTCCAGGAAGCACCTTTCCATTTTAAGCCGCCGGGGCCGGCTGGGAGCCTGGTGCCTGTATTGCCGGAGCAAGGCATGTAGCGGTGGCTGGGGAAGTTCTCCCTTGCTTTGTGCTTCCTCTCTTCAGCTGCTTCAGTGCTCAGCGTCACCAAGCTGAGCCTTTTCGGAGACAAGGCAGACCTAAGGCATGTGGAGAATGAGCTCCTTCCCCTAAAAATGCTTCTGTTACCCCTCTCTGCCGTAACCTGGTTATTCCTCTGGCTCTCGGTACACCTCTCCTGCTGGGAAGGAGGGAGGGTATTGATCCTGCAGCCCCAAGTCTCCATGAGCCCACCCCGGCTGGAGCCAAAGGGTCTTGCTCGCTCTTTCCTTCCTGCGTGGGCTTCAAAGCTGGGGGTGATGCAGAACAAAGCTGATTTCTGATCTACGTGTGAGCTGGGAAAGCTGCTGTCTTCTGCCTTTGCTGCCGGGAGAGGCTGGGTGCTGAGCAGGGAAACCCCTCTCCAGAGAGCAGTGGGCTGTGAAACTTAGTTTTTAGGTTTTATTAATCAAAACTACACAAACTCATCCTATATGTAACGTCTTGCATCCTTTTATTAAAATAAAAAAAAGCAGGACAACCCTGTCCTCCACATCCCTAGGTAGGGTATCTTACAAAGGTCTTTAATGCGGCATTTTCTTCCCGACGCGTGTTTGAGCTACCATAAATAAAAGCTTTTTCTTCGCCCATCCTGTCATCTGGCTATTTACAAGGCTCCCAGGGGCTGGAACGCACTCGAGTCCCAGCAGTGAAATGGTACCAAGAGGCAACAGGGGCAACTTGAAATGTAGTGTAGAGCGGACTGTGCCGCAGGCTCGCCGCCACTCGGGCGACGGTCGCCAACGCCCATTTAAAATGTACACCGGCCCCAGCGGCTGACGCATGCGTCTTGTGTACGGTATGTACAGCGACAGCCACGTGGAAAACGCATTTATTATCACGGACTCGTACCGCTTCTAACCCTCAGGTAAACAGCTTTTTTTTTTATTATTTTTATTTTCCTATTTCTTCTGCTGTCAGTTGCACTAATCACTTGAAAACATTCCAATAATTTAAAACTGTGTAATGTTAAAATAGCCTCTGTCCTATATGCAACTCGATGGCAGGGAATAAATCCTCGGGAGGATTTGCATTAGCCATCTTTAAATAATTTCTATATACAGAACTAGAGCCAACCTTCCCCCGCCACCTCTCCACGCACGGCTCCTGTGGGCAGCACCCGAAACCCACCGGGATGTCGGGGCCATCCCGCAGAGGACCAGGATGCCCAAACCGGCGCCGCAGGGCCTGGGGAGGAGCCTTGCCGCAGCTTTGCTTCGTCACCTGCAACACAGCGACGTGGCACAGGTTATTGCTCTGCTCCCCTCCTCGTTCCGGGCAGCGCTGACCTCTTGCAGAGCTTCCCCAAGGGAAGCGCCGGTGTGTTTCCCGTTGCCAGCGGTGCTGAGCGTGGCTCTGCCAAGCACGGGTCCTCCCGGCTACGGCTTCAGGAGTCGGCCCTAAGTGTTGGCAGAGCCAGAGCGGATCCTGCAGCCAGTCCCTGGGAAAGGTCCCTGCTCTGCTGCGGGAGCAGCTGGACCCCAGCTCCCTTCCTGCCACCCCGCAGACAAGCTGAGAGCTGCTCCCGGACTTTTGGGGGAGAATGGGACAATCCTGACCTCCCCCCCCTTACCAGTAGCTTCTTCTAAAGGGGGCAGCCGCTTCCTGCACCGTCCCAAGGAAGGTGTTGACGTCGGCCACGAGGATTCCTTTGCTTTCAAGGACCTCCCTGCTGACACTGGGCTTTTCTGCAAAGGAAGGAGCGGCACCGTAATTCAAACAAGCAACCGAGGTGGTTCTGAAACCGACAGAAAATATCCCCAAATCCCACTGCAGTTATTCCGTTTTGCAAATGTGAGCAGATTAAAACAGCGCTGCTTTGCAAACAGCCTCAGCCCAGCAAGGCCAGAATTGGAGCGTGACGTAAAGCCATCCGCAGGCTCAAAAGATTGCCAGAGTTTACCAGCGCTCCAAAAATCTGTTCATTTTTGCCTTTTACTGCGCTGACTTGCAATGAAGCACCTCACACCTTACCTGTGCTTCTAGCAGAAATGGGAGCAAATGGGGTGTTTCTTGTCCCTCGTCCACCGCCTCCCAGGCCAATTTAAGACAGAGCTCATGGGGGTTGAGGGCACCAGCACAGGGCAGCACCCAGAGCCCGTCCTTACCTGTGAGATACACAGCGAACCTGGCGCTGACGTGCTGAACCTGCAGGTTCAACAAGCACTTGACGTACTCGGATCTGGGGGACGACTGGGAGTCGCAGGCGTGGTAGTGCAGCACCTCGATGAGATTGGCTCCCTGGCACGATTTGAGGATCAAGTGCTTCTTGTGGGTGTTGGCATCCAGCCTGCCGGGAGAGGGGCAAGGTGAGGTGGCGAGGGGCTTCACCCCTTTCTCCCCTCCTGGGGAATGAGCAGGTATGATGGGACCCGCCTTTCTCCCCACGTCTGTTTCTTCCAGCCTCACGGGTGCTTTTACGCTTGCTACCCTGCACTAAATGGAGAGGGCAGGAGCAAGCGGCACCGTACAGGTCATGCACGCAGCGGGGAAACAAAATGACCCCTTGCTCGAGACAGCTCAGACCGTGGCTCATGATCCCACCACAGTGGAGTCGAAAGATGCCTCGTGCGTGCCGTTGATGGAGCACAAAGAAAATACTTGCTCCACAACGGCATCCGCTCCGCACAGGTTGAGTCCTCATCTCACAGACGGCGATGAAATACCCAACCCCGAGCTTCTGCGACGTCTCACCGCTCAAGGACTGAAAAACCAGGTCTTCAGAACAATTACTTCATGCTCTCACCGTAAAGGCTGAGTGTGGAGAGGATCTGAGATGTCTCCCCCTTTGTTGTAGCATTTTCTGCTCAGACAGAACAGACCAGTTTCCTCTTTGTTTGCAGGTTGTTACTAGAAAGCTGTCCTTTCTGGCCTGTGGTCTGGCACTAACACGTAAAAACATTCCCCTCCGACTTCAAACATGATAAAAGCAGGACATTTCAATGGAAAATTGTGCTGGTTTTGGCTGGGGTAGAGTTAATTTTCTTCACAGTAGCTGATATGGGCCGATGTTTGGGATTTGTGCTGGAAACAGTGTTGATAACACAGGGATGTTTCCGTTACTGCTGAGCAGTGCTGACACACAGTCAGGGCCATTTCTGCCTCTCACCCCACCCCACCAGCGAGCAGGCTGGGGTGCACAAGAAGCTGGGAGGGGACACGGCCGGGACAGCTGACCCCAACTGCCCAAAGGGACATTCCACACCATATGACGTCATGCTCAGCTTATAAAGCTGGGGGAAGAAGAAGGAAGGGGGGGGCGTTCGGAGTGATGGCGTTTGTCTTCCCAAGTCACCGTTAGGTGTGATGGAGCCCTGCTGTCCTGGAGATGGCTGAACACCTGCCTGCCGATGGGAAGCAGTGAATGAATTCCTTGTTTTGCTTTGCTTGCATGCGCGGCTTTTGCTTTACCTGTTAAACTGTCTTTATCTCAGCCCACAAGTTTTCTCCCTTTTACCCTTCCGATTCTCTCCCCCGTCCCTCTGTGAGGGGAGTGAGCGAGCGGCTGCGTGGGGCTCAGTTGCCAGCTGGGGTTAAACCACAACAGTCCTTTTTGGCGCCCAACGTGGGGCTCGAAGGGTTCAAGATAACGACAGGTTTGACTGGAATGTGCTAGGTGGAATTTATGGCTGTTATTACTGTTTAGCTGTTAATCAGCAGGCTCCTGTGCTTGCCGTGGGGCTCGCTTGCCTCACTGTATATTAGAGTCTAGTGCTCGTTAGTGGCTGCTTTTTGCTTTCGCTGCTTGCTGTGCTGCTGATCATCTCACTCTGCCGTGCCTGGGAACATTTTGATAACAGCAATGGCCATGCGCCTGGGCTGGCAGACGGCCGGGGCATCGCTGCTGTTCCTGTGCTGCTGCACTGGACAGGCTGGAACTCCAGCGTGAACTCGAGTCGAAGGGACTGCGACCTGTGGGTGAGTCCAGGCGGGAGCAGGACGCTCTAAAGAGCCTGTGGCCGTGAATAAGCTCATGCCAGAGCAGTTCCACCTCGAAGCTGCTGCGGCCGTGGTTATGGCTGTGCCGCAGCAAGTATACTGCTGAAGGGATTGTGGCCCAAGGGCAAGGCCACGCTGCAGCAGGTACACATCGAAGCATCTGTGGCTGTG